GGTAGGACCGTCCAAGGAGGAAGGCTCTGATGTTTCTCCCCCTTTCTCACACCCGTAGGCGCCAGGAAGAGAGAGGACTCCAGAAGTTCAATTCTTTTGGCCGTGCCTCCACTTTTCAAAAGGACATGTCCAAGATGCGACATCAGATCTCCCTGGTCAAAGGAGACGCACAGGAAATTGCAGACCATTGGTAAAAATCCCGAGGACCAGATGAGAGGGTCCCGAGGGGCCGGGGCTGTGAGTGCAAGGTCAAGGCCGATTGGGTCTCTTCCAAGGTGTGGAGAAAAGCATCGCCACCCCTAAACTGTCACTGGCCACCAATCAGGTGGCACCCAAAGAGGTTAATTCCAGAGAGCACGAGTCAGAACCCATCAGTTTCTGGACCACGGGGAAGACCACCTGCTGTGTCCTCGGGTCTTACCTTCTGACGGCCCAGGGGAGGGGCAGGTGAAACACCCCAACCTGAAACCAGTCTACAGACTCTGAGGTCTATGCAGTGGTCCCCAAATAATTTAAAACCTTAAGGACACAAACCCAGGTAGGAGTGTCCTAGGGACCCTGTGCTCCTGTGCTGGGTGAGGATAAGTGACCAGAAGTAAACCAGGCGCGGTGGTGCACGTCTGTGATCCCAGCAGCTCAGGAGGCTGAGGCAGGAGGATCTCGAGTTCAAAGCCAGCCTCAGCCAAAGCGAGGCCCTAAGTAACTCAGTGAGACCCTGTCTCTAAATAAAATACAAAGCAGGGCTGGGGATGGGGCTCAGTGGTTGAGTGCCCCTGAGTTCAATCCCGCTGACCAAAAAAAAGTAACCAGAAGCTACATGGTGGGTTTTGGAGTCTTATTGAACTGCGGTGGGGACTGCTGTGTACACATGGTCTGTGTACTTCAAAATAACGAGGAGAGAGAAGGCTGAGCTCTCAGTGTGAGGTGATGGATATGTTAAATATGCTTTTGGGGTCATCACACATTGTATACACCACGTACTGGAATGTCCCGCTGTACCCCATAGATAGGTCCGATTATTATGTGATGATTAAAAAGCAAAATGAAAGGTTTAAGAAAGGAAATACATATACACCAGACTGGGGATGCAGCTCAGTGGTAGAGAACATATGTAGCATGTGCAAGGCCCGGGGTAGATCCCCAGCACAAGGAAAGGAGGAAGGAAGGAAGATCAACAGCCCTTCCCTCAAAAAAAAAAAAAGCATTATGAATTAACTGACTACTGGATTGAAAGATCCACCCTACTCTGGTTTAATGAATTATTTTATTCCTACCCCCAAATCCTTAAGGGTACCTACTAATCCCATTTCACAGACAGGGAAACTGAGACTCAGAGACGGCAATTATTTTACTCAAGGTCACACAGCTAGTAAGAGGTAAATTTAAGGTGTAAATCCTTATCTGGCCCCAGTCTGTATGCTCATTTGCAATTCAGAATCTGAGTCCGATGAACTGGGATATCGTGAACCCCCACGAAGATCGAAGAGTAAGATGAGAAAGTCCGAAGATGTACCCTGAATTCCTCCCCTGATTTAATACGGCAGATCAGGAGCTTACAAAGCAGGTCCCTGAGGTCTCAGCAGAGATCTGGGGCCTTCCACAGTGCCTCATGCTCCCGGGGGATGGTGCATATTCACACATAATGGCACATGTTTATGCATTTATTCACGTCTCCTGGTGTAGAATGAGATCTCCGTGAGCCAGGAACTTTGAGTATGGGAAGCCTGCGTTTCTCCCAGTAGGGGTGCTCAGTAATTATAACCGGAAAGACTTAGTCAGTGCCTCACCTCAGCCCCGGGCTCACCGGGTTGCCGTTGATCTGATTTTTCTCTCACTGTGGTGGGCACTTCCCTCCCCCGTTAGGATGCCCAAAGTTTCCAACATTAGCGAAGGTGGCTGGATCCCACCGTGGCAGGGTCGGCATTGATTTCTCACCGCGATGCCTGGATGTGAGTCTGTCTGTGACTCTCTGTTTCCGTTCCCCACATCTCCCCCGAGGAGTGGAGAGGCAGGTTAGACGGGGTAGGCGGGAGCCTGCCACTCCCTTCCTCTCATGCTCATCATCATCTCGAAGGTGAGCACCTCCCGATCCTGGGACTCATGATGTGTCCACACGCCCCCACCCTGGGCTGACTAACTTTCAGGAGAGCAGCTTCAGAATCCTTCAGATTTCCAATCTCCCCCTCCTGTCTTCTAGTTTTCCTGCTTGATTTAAAAAAAAAAAAAAAAAAAAAACAATCTGAACTCAAATGCATCCCTTGGAACCATGTCCCTAGCCATTTTCTAATGGAACACAAGATGCGCTCCAGCTTTTCCCCACCCTGAGAACAAGCACTCCTCCTGATTCGTGGGCCCTTAACATTTAGGATGGATCCAGGGTCCTCAGACCGAGTCTCACGATGCCCTGGGGACACTCTGCGAGTGACAGAAGTGGTGGAGGAGAGTCCACGGGGCCCAGATCCCCCCGCCCCGTGCCCCCCTAACGGGCCCTGTCCTCTGGAATTGAAGGTACTTTGACCTGTTGTCCAAACTCCCTGAGGATCTGAAGAGCTTCCGCCCCGCCAAGAAGATCCTGGCCAAACTGCAGAAGTTTGGGGAGAACCTCGACCTCAGGATCCGGCCCCACGTCCTCCTGAAGGTGCTACAGGAGCTGAGAATCTGGGAACTGTGCTCCCCAGACGTCGCTGTGGCTATTGAGGTAACCCCTGTCCCCTCCCCCCCCATGCCGCAGTTGCCTTCATTCCGCCATCTGTCAACCCGAAGGCGTTTATTATAAGTGTCGGGGACACAGGGAGCAAGAGACACGAAGACCCCTGCCTCCCAGGAGCCTACGTCCCCTAGAATTACCACATGACCTTGGTTGTCGGTCCCCGACTCCAAGGGACATTAGATTCTACATCAGCCGGGTCCCCTGGAACCTTAGAGGCTTCGAGGACAATCGTCGTAAGAAGCAACTCCAAATCCTGCCACTGCTGGTGTGGTCCCTGGGCTTCCCCTGGGCGGTGGGGAGAAGGGGAAAATCTCAGGCTACCATCCCAGAAGTCACATCTCAGGGGGCAGGGGGTGTCGCCTACCGAAAAAAGTCTGAGAGCTGAGGTCTAAAGTCAATTAGCGGCACCCACCTTAACCAGGACCACGGGGGAAGGTGACTTTTCAGCTGAGACCTGAACAGTGAGAAGACAGCCCCATGTAGAGAAGGGGAAAGAGCAGAGCAGGAAGAAGGGACACCCTGTGTCAAGGCCACCCAACAGGACCCGGCTTGACTCGGAGGAATTCCTGACCATGCATGGCGGTAGCCCAGGTGTCCAGGAGGCGCATGGTTCCCAGGGTCCTGGTCAGCCCTGCCTTCGGATGACCTGGGTGTGTGTCTGTGTCGAGGGGCAAGGCCAGGTGTCCAGAGTCCCCTCCCCACACCCTGCGAGGCTCTGGCAGGCAAGGCCAAAACCACCTCGAGGGCGTGACGGTCCACCCCCTACCCGCCAGTCCTGAGCCACCTTCTGCCTGCCAGCTCGCGGGGTGCCTGGGAGAGGTGATCCAAGTGGTCCAGAGCCCTGGCTAACAAAACTGGGCATGCTCCCTCCCCAGAGCGGATCTGGGGGCTCTGCATCTAGAGTCCATATCAAACACTACATTTTGTGTGTCCTAAACTCTTTCCTGGAAAGCAAGCCCCAAACTGTCACCAATTCTCAAAGAGATCTAGGAACCAAAAAAATATATATAGATAGATATGAGAGCAAGTGACTTTTTAAAATGATGCAAAGAAGTGGACAAGAAAGGGAGAGGCATGTTATCCGGGTTTTCCTGCCCTCCTCAAATCTCCTTGGGTCAAAAGTAACAAAGGGGGCTTAAAATTATCCTGCTGAGCGAGGAGACTGGAGAGAAGGGCCCTCTTCCCAAAAAGATGGGCCCAGCCCCATGCTCCAGGCATTATGAATGAATGAATAGTTCAGGGCATCCTGGGGCCAGGCGTCTTGGTGACAAATCTTCTGGGATCCTTGCGGGGGAAGGCAGGGGAGGCATGGGAGGGGAGGTTCTCGTTTTCAAACCAAATTCTGAGGTTGCCACTGTATTTGACCCACAGTTTGTGCGAGAACACATCGTCCACATGCCTCAAGAAGACTACATCAGCTGGCTGCAGAGCCGGGTCAACCTACCCCTCAGGCCGCAGAACGCCATAATGGAGTCTAGGCCTGCAGTGACCAACGGTCCCAGCGTCTGAGGCCAAGCCCAAGCCGTGTCCCTACATCCCTAGAACTTGGCGCTTGCTTCCTCCTGCCCTCATGGGTGCTTGTTAAGTGAGATCATCGGACGACTGGCCTCCGACACCCTTCTAGAGTGAGATTCCCACCCCAGTCCCCGGCCCCAACCTCCAGTCTGATTCTATCTACTTCTTCTCCAGATTCCTTCCCCGGCGCTATTCCTTGTCCACAAATTTGGGATAATAAAATTGACCTGGGTCTTTGATGTCTGAATGGGAAAGCGTTGGAGCTGTGGGATTTGGGTACAGTGACCGTTTATTGAGCTGCTGTTATGTAACAGGCCCCACGATGGTGCTTGGCCTAGAGGATATCATTGGAATCTCACAATAATTAGGTTAAGTAGGAACCCAATTCACAACATTGGGATTAGAATGTATTTCTCAACATTATATATACCGTCTTGAATGAATAGATGGATAAATGAATGGAAGGAAAGAAGGATGGTTGGATGGATGGATAAGTGGATGGATGGATGGATAAGTGGATGGATGGATGGATGGATAAGTGGATAGATGGATAAGTGGATGGATGGATGGATGGATAAGTGGATGGATGGATGGATGGATGGATAAGTGGATGGATGGATGGATGGATAAGTGGATGGGTGGATGGATAAGTGGATGGATGGATGGATGGATAAGTGGATGGATGGATGGATGAGTGGATGGATTGATGGATAGTGGGCAGATGAAGGGTGGATGGACAGATGGATGGATGGACTGAGCCATAGGCCTTTTAACTCTCTCAGTGATGGCAGAGCCAAATAATCAACCAAACAACTGGCCTTGGTCTGCAGTTGTCACGGTGATCAGAGCATCGGTGGAGTCTGGCCTTCGACCTCTCCCCTGGACAATGGTCAAGCGGGGAGAACTGGGGAGACACCTCAGTGCCAGCAACATCTCGCTCCCCCACTCACCTGCTCGGTCACATACTCGTTCATTGTGGATATTGACCAAGAGCCCAGTAGGCACCCACCAAGTTTGAGGCACAGCAATGAACAAGGCAGACACAATCCCACACTCGTGGCGTTTCCATGGAGAAAGACAAGTCACAAAATGTGCAGATGGGTCACCTACATGACACACCTCCCCACGGAGCTGCCCTGTGTCTAAGAGAACATCTTGAGGAGCTATTTGCTGTGTAAAGAGTTGGGAGAGTCCATAAGGAGATGGAGAGATTCGGAGACTGTAGACATCTCTGCAATAAACAGGCATTTGAGTGAGAGGAAGTAGGGAAGATCACTTGGACCCTCAATGATCTCAGCCACACACCTAGGTGTCTCCTGGGGTCGAAGCTTTGAAGAAATGAAGGAAAGGGGGCGTGTTCTAACCCTGGAGAAGGGCATGAGGGACCCAGAGCAGGAACCTGAGGAGTCAAGGCCAGAGAGATTCCTGTTAGAGGAGCACACTCGATTTATAGAAATCTTGAATGAACATTTGACTTCCCACTCAATATGAGATGGAGACTCAGCCAAATGGACAGTTATCTCCAAGGTCAGGTGACCATCACAGAAACAGTTCCACAGTGTCAAAGTACAAGGAGACCCCCCCAGAGACTAGGAAAGGGGGTGCTGACTGCTGCCTGAGGTTGGAGGCTTTTGAGAGGAAGCGAGGATACCTGTGGGATGAGTGCGGGTGGTTCTGAGGAAGAAGGTTGGGCAGGCCAAGGAGGGAAGGCTCTTCCAGGAGAGGGGAGAGAGTGGCAAAGTCCTCGCAGCTAAGAGACACGGGAGCTGTTAGTGGAGGAACTCAACCCAGTCCTGCTAGACGACGTTCCAGATTAGAAACACAGGACAGAGGAAGATGAGGAGGAGAGGAAGGAAAGAAAGGTGTAAAGAGAATAAGAGGAGGTAGGTTTTAAGCATATGAAGTTGGAGATGCGCAGGGGACCACTGGGTGGAGGGCTGCACAGGGTGTGGAAACTTGACCTCAGCACCCGCCTCAAGATGGCTAAGGTAACAAGTGAGAGGAGCGGCCAAGGGAGGAGAGGGAGAGAGGCCCTTGAGGACAGAGTCCCATTTACTGGAAGGCCACCCTGTTCCGGACACAATGTTTGACACAGGTGATCACATGACACTCCCATAACCCTTCAAGGCCGGGCTCTTGTATTTTAATTTTTAACTGATAATATAAAAACGTAAAAATCAGAGCCAGGCACAGTAGCGCACACCTGTGATCCAGCAACTCAGGAGGCTGAGGCAGGAGGATCTCAAGTTCCGGGCCAGCCTCAGCAACTTAGCAAGAACCGGTCCCAAAATAAAAAAATGGATAAAAAGCTGAGGATGTCGCTCTGTGGTAAAATACCTCTGAGTCCAATCCCCAGGACCGCAAAAAGAAAGAAAGGAAGGAAAGAAGAAAGGGGTATCATGATGTTTTTATACATGTACACGTTGTAAAATGTTCTGATCAGGGAAAACATACCTATCTCCTCAAATATTATTACTTTCTGGCAAAAAAAAAAAGCAAAACCTTTCCTTCTAGATTTCTGGAATACACAGTGTGGAACGGTATGTAGGGTCACCCTACCATGCGACAGCACAGCAGAGCTTCTTCCCCCTATCTTAGTACCTACCCATCTATCAACCCTCCCTCCCCCCACGTCCAGCTTGGCTGTGAATCCCCTACAGTTCCCGGCTACCCCCGGGCCCCAGCTCTTGCTGCTATAATACAAGGAGGTCATGAAAGTTATCGTGCCTTTGGAATCGTGCCCAAGGAGTGGCTCTTGCAGGGTGGCTTTCGGGCATTGCATTAACTCACGTTTGGACTGCTTCCAGTTCTCACCGTGTCTTCCCAACTCATGTTCACAGTATGTCTCCGAGATGGGCGCTAAGGTAATCCCCATTTTGTAATTAAGCCTATTGAGCCTTAAGGTTGTTTGCTGGCAGCCACATACAGGTAGGTGGCAGAGACCCGTCTAGAATGAGGTCTGTCTGTCCAGGACACAAGATTTACTCCACCCTCCTGCATGGCAACTTTCTGAGCCTCTTGCTCAGAGCTGTAGCTCCATCTAGTGGCCGCTATTAGTATTTCTTCCCTTCAGCGCCCTTCAGTAAAATGTGACCACCCTGACAGAAGGAGAAGGCAATTGTTGGCAACAGCAAGACCTGCTCTGCTTGAACAAGAAGCATTTATTCAAGCAAAGGAAATTACAAATATTTGGGGGACTAGATGGTGACCACACATCATCTACTATTTCTCAGGCTCAAAGAGTCACAGGGAGAAATATTTTTTGCCACGAGTCTCTTCTTTAGAATTCTAATTGAACACCAACTATATGCCAGGCCAGGTCTGTATTAGACTCCCCAGGAGTCTGTTCTCCTGCTCTGTGCCTTGTGTATCTTTCCAGGGAGGTTTTGTTCATGGGCAAACAAAAGCTTCTTAAATTAATTAGCTAATTGATTTAAAGCATCTGTTATGTACTGACTGTATGCCAGGTACTGCTCTGAATAATTTGCATGTCAATCTTGGTTTCACTTCACCACAACCCTATAAAATAGGTAATATTCTGATCCCTGTGGTGTAGCAGAGGAAACTGGGGGTACAGAAAAGTCGAGAAACCTAAGCTGTTACATGTAGGGTAATGTCGGGTAAAAATTTAATGCATGAAAATGTTCTGAGCACCTCATTAGTTCATTCACTAGTCGAGTCCTTGTAACCAGCATTACTCTGTGAAATCAGCATGACTCTACAAAGCCAAAGCTCAAATCCCGGTCATCTTGAGGTTTTTTGCAAAACGACTTCCTACTTAGCTGCCTCTCTGCTTATTTAGATGCTTTGTCCTGGAGGTTCACATTGACCGTGTTGGTGGGGCTCAGAGTCATAACTTTAGTGATAATACATTTCAAAAGCCATTTACATCTTTTGAAGGATAAGTATATCCATTAGCACCACGAGAGCATCAGAGCAATCCTCTGAGACGGGATGAAGCCGATCTCACACTTCAAAGATCTGACACACCCAGGAACTTGAGATCTGAACTGGGTCCTCCGACTCTGGAGCTTTCTCTATCACACTAGGCTGGGAGGCCAAAGCACCCAACCCAGGGACTCTACCAAAGCACCCTGGGAGGACAAAGCTCCCTGAGTTTTCATCTCAGAATAGCTTCCCCCTCCCATGACACACAGAGAGTTGTTTTAATCTGTCTCTCTAATTAGATGGAGGCTCCAGGAGACAGGTAGCTACCTTATTTACCAATGCACTACCAGCACCTATCCCAAGGCTCCTGGAATCAACTGGATGGATGGATGAAAAGATGGATGGGTGGACGGATGGATGGATGGACGGATGGATGGATGGACGGATGGACAGATGGACAGATGGTTGATTAAATTGATGAGTATATGAATGAATGGATGTGTGTGTACGTGGAAGGATGGAGGGATGGTTGGACAAATGAGTAAATGAAGGGATGGATGGTTGGTTGAATGGATGAGTATATGAATAAGTGGATGTATAAGTAGATGGGGGATGGAGGGATGGAAGGATGGGTAAATAGATAAATGAATGGATGGGTGGGTGGATGGATGGGTGGACCGATGGTTGGTTGAACTGATGAGTATATGAATGATTGTATGTGGGTGTAGATGGAGGCTGGAGGGATGGAAGGATGGATGAAGGGAGGGAGGGAGGGATAGATGGATGGGTGGATCAACGGATGGATGGATAGATAAATGGATGGAAGGATGGATGGATTGCTGACTCTAAGAGAAACCAAGAGGAGTCATTGTCAAGGTCATTGGCCTCATGGAGATTCCCCAGATTCCCACTGCCTTCTGGGAAATAGAGATATCCATGAAGCTGGTATATATAGATCCGATTGTCCCTTCTGGCAGGGATCAATGGTATAAGAAATAAGACCACAGCCCCATGTCCTTAAGCAACACCAGCACAGACAGTTCTCCCAATGACCCACCAGGTCAGTGAGCACAGAACCAAAGGGTTCCTTTCCCCTTGGACTTCTCAAAGCAGAAGGTCTGCTTTCAGAACATCCCAGTTAGGCCTCCCATCCCTTGCCTTAAGCCAACCAATGCACCCCGCCCTTATCTCAAGCCACTCTCCACGTTCGGATGCCCTTTGAGATGACACCCATTACTGCTGGTGCCACCCGTCGGCCGTCTCTCACTCTTCCTTGGCTGGCAGTCCTCTCGTTGTCCAAGTATCCGCTCCTTCCTGTGGGAACCAAGGGAGATCTTGACGGGTCTAATTCCATATGGA